CGCCCGCACACCTTATCTTCAGATCCCTCATTTCGGCGCTGGCGGCAGGTGACAAGCTGTTGCACCTGGCCCCTGTGACATGTCACGTTGGGGAGAGGAGCTGACAAAGGGCCCTTGTCACTATGGGGCTTATCTCGGTGCCGCAGGGCAGGCAGGCAGGAAGCACCTCTCTGTTACATAAAATACTGGCTTTGGACCCGCACGCTGACCCCGCGGCCCTGCCAAAGACAATGCCTGTAACCAGGGAGCACCTGGCTGCTGTACAAAGCCACGAATGTGAAGGGGACTGGGGGACGGCTGCAAACAGGGCAGAGAGCTGAGCCACCAGGCTGGACGGCTGCTGTTGCCCCCACACCTTATGGGGCTGCTCGGCATCCCTCTCCTCGGCTGCCGCCGATGGGGCGGCAAGGGGGTGAAGCAGCTACTGCAGCCACGTCTGCCAGGACCACAAACCCTCCTCTTGGATATTGAAGGGACCTGGGGCCATCGCTCAGAGGCATATGGCGCACTCCAGGAGATGGCCAGGAGCAGGCTGCGACTCCCAGCACACTGTCGCGCCAGCAAGACACTACCACAAGGCAGCCAGCAGCTCCCTGCGAGGTCTGCCCAGCCAGGAGATGGCCCGCCACATCCCTGGGAGCCTGCACTGTAGGCACAGGGGCCAAACCTCTCACTGTGGCCAGGGAGAGACACCCCCCATGCTCTTCCACACCAAGCATACTATGTGGCATGGCCCAGCAGCGCACAACAATCAATAGAAACCTACTTTCATGGAAAAATCAGGTCAATTTTTGGCTTTCAGGTTGCAGAGATTGCACAAGCTCCAACAGTGATGCAACTGCTCATATGGCTGAGCTTTCTGGGAGGTAGAGCAGCGATGGGGCTGCCCCTGCCCACAGGCAGCCCCAGCGTGGGGGGAGCAGGGGGGCACAGCAGGACCGCGGGCAGCAGTGCCACTCCCCAGAGCCACCACGCTGCGGGTGAAAGCAGAACAGTGAGTGGGGAACCAGCAGAGGAAGGGCAGAGGGGCCTTACAAACAGGAGAGAAATCCAAATAACGGGCAAAAACGGCAGGCAGAGGACATCCCGGGGGACCAAATCAATAATGAAATGTTTACCTGGAACACAGCAACCAGGACCGCGGGCAGCAGTGCCACTCCCCAGAGCCACCACGCTGCGGGTGAAAGCAGAACAGTGAGTGGGGAACCAGCAGAGGAAGGGCAGAGGGGCCTTACAAACAGGAGAGAAATCCAAATAACGGGCAAAAACGGCAGGCAGAGGACATCCCGGGGGACCAAATCAATAATGAAATGTTTACCTGGAACACAGCAACCCGCTCTGCCCCCCATGCCTGTGCTGGTGCAGGGTGAGCCCGCAGCCCCTCTGCTGCGCTGCAGACGCGTTTCCCCAGCCCCCCACCCTGCACCCTCTCCCAAAGCTCAGGCCGCAGTCCCCGTTCCCTGGAGTCCCTCCGAACCATCTCCTCCCCTGCCCTCCCCTCACCTGCTACCGGCAGGCTCCTGGAAGGCCCCGGTGCCCCCGGGGCTGGGACTGCCGTGGCCCAGTGGGGAGCTGCGCTGCGCAGGGTCCCGCTGGCTCGGGAGGCTCTATTCATAGCCATGCTCCCAGACACAACATCTCACTGTGGTCACACGCAGGGGACTCAAGGCCCAGCCCGAACACCCTGACCTTGCCCTGCGGTACAGCTGCAGACACAAACAGCAGCGGCTCAGGGTGGTTCTGTAACTTTATCTGCCTCTGACTGTGTCAGCAGCAGCCGTAATGCTGCCAAGGTATCGACCCACAGCCTGCCACAGCACTGCCCCTGCCGTGGGCTGCGGTGCGTCGCACCCCGCCATCGCCTGTCCCCCTACAACTGCAGCTCTGCAGGTGTGGGGGCATCCTTGCCCGGCCTGAGCATTGTAAGGTGCCTGTGGCACTCAGGGGCTCCACACAAGTGACATGCATGGGAACACAAGTACACGCATGCAGAAAACACCAGGGAGGGGAGATCACTTGTGGCCCTTCAGCAAGAGCCCTGCTCGCCCGTGGGCTGGGGAGGGGAGTGCTTACAGATCCAGACACACAAATCTAGCCCGAAGCCCGCCAGGCGCAGATTTTCACCAGCAAGCTGGCAAAGCACTGAGGAGCAAGACTGGCCCATGCCCGGTGCTGGCTGTGCTCTGGGCCCGCTCCCGCCAGTGGCTGACAGCCTCACACGGCCTCACACCACCCCAGGAACAGGGGGCTCAGCCCCGCGAGTCACCCCCCAGCCCTGCTGCGTATTGCCAAGCTGCTGTGGGGCCGACACGTCAGCAGCCACTGTGCTGGGGAGAGGGGGATGGGGGGCTGGGGCTGCCCTCAGCCACATCAGCTCTTGGCAGCCTGTCTGCCATGTCCCCAGGGGATCTGGCAAGGGAAGGTACAGAACCATGACACCCCTGCGCACCCCATGCCATGATGGGCGCTGCAGGGCCCTGCACAGGGAGACCTCTCGTGCCTTCGCCTGCAGGAATGGGTTCCTCCCGTGGCTCCTGACACACCAGCTCGGGCAATGCTGGCATTTGGTTTCTCCAGCTCGGCTGTGCCTCTCGAGGGGACACAGGGCAGAGAAGACACATCACAGGCTAAGGATTGCTTCTTGCCCCAGTCTCCAATGCCTGCGGTCACAGAACCGAGCCAGGCTGTGAAAGCATTTCCCTGTTTGCTGAGGTCTTTAGTTTTGCTTCACCTGAACAGGACATTATGTGCTTTGTGTGCAACTCCTAAGCTTCACTTAAACTGGTGTGTCTAATTGTTTCATCGAGTTGTATGTTGAAGCGCACTCCTTGCCATGGTGGCACAGGACTCATTAGGTGGGAACACACTGTGATAACCCACAAGATTAGTATCTCATCAAATGATCAAATGCAGAGCAGGAGTTCTAATTGTCGTCTGGGTGTAAAGACCAGAAACACCCAAATGAGCTCTTGCTAATTCCTGGGCAAGGCTGGGGCAGACCATCAGTTGCTGTAGGATTATAAAGGTACAAATGCCTCAGTTGCTAAGGCAAACCACAAGGTACAGGACACCACGGGAGCCCTGCAGCACCAGGGTGCCACCATGCACCCATCCCTCCTCCCTGCCCAGCTCTGGCAGGGCTGTCCCTGCTCCTCCAGCTGCTGCAAGGACGCACTGAAGCAGGGGAACCATGGAGAGAGCCCGCAGCTCTGCCTGGGGCAAAAACGGGGTTGTCTGAGACAGTGCCTGGAGGCTGCAGGGAAAGCCTTCCTCCAGCACCACAGCAAGGACTGAGCCCAGGACGGCCATGCGCAGCCAGCCAATGCTGCCACGGGCTGGGTCCCAGCTGGGCCCCCATGCCTGGGGCCACCACCCCCTGCCTGCAGCCCAGCAGGATCACAATGATCCTGGATCCCAGCGCAGAGAGGTGCCGAGGGCCAGAGGAGAGTCCCCCATGAGAGACTCTGCCTTTGTGCAGCCTCGGGACCTCTGCAGACACCGCTGGGACCCTCCACACCAGCAGAGGTGGGCCCAGGCCAGGGGCAGTACTGCTGCCAAGAATCGGGTCTGCGCTGCACAAGACCAGATGAATGAGATCCTCCCAGCTGGGAACCAAGAACACCGAAAGGAAAAGAATTCCCTGCACTTCCCTTGGGATCGTGCTCCAGTGCTGACACACTGCTTTGGGGCTTCCTGGCTGCCACCTCTAGTGCTGGCCTTGCCTCACATGGCCTTCAGTGCACGGCCACGAGGGCAGCTGCTCCAGTGAGGGCAGGGCTGGCACCGGGCAGCACAGGGTTAAAGCGTGGCTCTGGCCCCTCTGCTTCCCAAATTCCCCTGCCGCAGGGTGCTGGCAGGTAGCCTTCCTGGAAGAGAAAACCTCTTCCTTTATTTTGAGAAGGCGGCACAGGATGGTAGACGTGGCTGCGGTGGTTTGTGACACAGTTTTGCCCAACTTCAAGAGAAGTCTTATTTTCTGTGGCTGTATGCCAGAGCAGGGGCAACTCATGCAAACCAATCACTCCCAGCTCTGCCCTCAACTCTCTTCTGCGAAACCTCACACCCCTTGGAGGCTGACGTGTGCTGATGCAGGCAGCACCTGCTTGCTTACAGAAAACCCCTGATGCCTGCCACGAAGCGGCCATGGCCCCGGCCCTTCCCGACATACATGCCACTGCCACCACCTCAACAGTGCCACTGGGAAGCCCAGGGGCTGCCCCAGCCCCACACCACAGCACGGTGGGAAAGTCCTGCTGCACCAGAAGCAGCCCTGCCTCCCAGCGCCAGACATCCCAAGGGCTGTGGTGGGACACATGGCTGTGCATGGGCCACTTGTTCTTGCTGCCCAGGAGATGGGGACCCGGGTGGCAGCACTGGGGCTTGCCAGGGCCCACTGTCTGTGGGAGAGCAAGAGGGCTGGGCCTTGGTTCTGCCAGGGGCAGTGGCCGTGGCCATGACCACCCAGCTCCACCTCTGCCCCAGCAGCAGCTGT